TTACAGTTAACCATAAAATATGAGTAAAAATAGAAATGAGAATGTGTTTTCTTTAAAATTTAAGTCAGGATATTATGAATAGTTTCAAAGTAGTGTCCTATAAACTGTTTTTTAGATAATTTTCTAGGGAGGCACCGATATGAAAATTTCAGCCAATATCGATATCCAATATTGGCTGTTATGTTATGGCCAATAATCAATATTTACCGATATTACACAAACACACAAAGTATTTATATACGTATACGCACAAACACATTTGCGGGGTTTTTTTCGATACCGTAAATAAACAACCAGACTTCTGACATGGCTCTCTGCTTCAGTTATTCTTGGCTGTGCAGCGTCAATTTCACGATCACGTTCAAACAGAYACCACTCGACAAAACCTTTCCCCTCCAGAAACAGAAACACAAAGCTAGAAAATGGAAAATCAATATTGGACATTAATATTGGCCCCATTTTACATATCGGGCCGATACGATATTCTAAAAAATTATCAATATCGGCCGATACCAATGTCAATGCCAATATATTGTGCATCCCTATAATTTTCCATTTCATTTCTTGTCAAATTAGTATTAATAGCTGCCACCACAAAATATATTAAAGGAAGTGGTCGTAAATAATTAACTGAATATCTTTTTCTCTAAACACAGTTTGTAAATGTGTTTGACATGACTTAAAATCAAAGAACAAAGCATTTGTTTTTATATTTACAGAATCAAACAGTGGAGGGCAGCAGCAACTTATTCTCACTAGTAAGAAAAGAATCATTTACTTTGCAGCGAGGACAAATTGCAAACTACATATATATAAAAACAACGTAACCTACAGTTTGTCAGAGGTATGAATATTTACCAGCAGAGCTTCTATTAAACATTTAACTGTGTAAAGTTCTTGATAATCACAGAACCTCTAAATGTCAGTAACAAATTACAGCAGAAACGTGAAATCTTTAACCACATGAAGGGGAAATTGTTGGGTCTGTTTATCAGTTTGGTGTATTTTGTTTTCATGGTTTTGCCTAAAAAAAGCCAATAAAAAGCTGATGAAATAAAACACAATTAAAYGCCTCAGTCCTGATGGTAATGGTGTCTTAAGGAGTAGAATGCCTCACAAGGGATCATTGAATGATTTAATGGATAATATACACAGAAAATTTGCTCTAGCTTTCTTGGTCACCAGATTTACATCCAGGCAAAGAGATGTGGGAGGTTTCAAATCATAGTGATGCTTTTTTATCACCTTAATAAAAATAAATAAATAAATCTAAAAGATGGTGCTCTACCTTTTTATAAAAGGCTTCCAAGATACTAGAACGCATCCAGTCTAATAATCTGCCTGACACTTGAAGAAAACCGATATTGGTTAATTCTGTCATTTCARTTAGGTTTATGCTTAATAATATTTTTGAAATTCTAAAATAAAATTCTTCATGTTTTGAATGTAGAATTTTCAGATCCAACTTTGATTTAGACACCATCTAAAAGAGGCTGAAGATATAGTTTTACAAGTAAGTCTAACAAACAAAAATGCACGAGCTGCACGCATGAATGTTTCATTAGTTAGGCTCTGATGTCGGCTGAACTGGGTCGAGTCACTGCTGCGTGCAACAGAGAACAGGAAGTGCACATCATAGTACAATCAATCATTCATCTCAGCTGAAGCCCTAACATACACTAATGGTAATCAGACTACTGTTTTAATTAAGATTTATCCTACATAAAGAACAACTCAATTTTATTATATCAGACGTTAGTGTCCTTAAAATATTAAACTATGATATTGTTTCAACAATAAAATAAAATGAATAACTCCATTTAAGGAATGTTAGCAGACATTTTCATAATGTGAGGATGGATTGGAAACAACGAATGCGTGCGTTTTCAAATCAAGCATCACCTGTAATAAGTCTCATCTCCTGTGACCTCCTGCAGTCGCTGCTGCAGCACAAAGAGATCTGTGGCATTTCTCTCCTCCGTCTCTGCAGCCTGCTGTTGGTAATGAGCCCTGAGGTGCTCCATTTCCTGTCGGTGACTCTCCTCCAGCAGAAGCAGCTTCTCCTGAGCCTCGGCCTTCAGCCTTTGTAGGTCCGACGGGGAGGCAGAAGCCCCAACTTGCTCCTTCGCATCTAAATGGCACAAAAATGAAACATGAAACTCAAAATGTGCAGCACTGAAGAAATCTGATAAAGCTTAGATTCTTCTTTTATAAAAATGTATTTCAAAGGAATGCATCCATTATAGGAACTGAATGAGAGGGGGTTATATAACAGCAAAAATGTAGAAAAGAAAAGCTGTGAACAAATTTGTGAATCTGCAAAGCTTAATTGAAAAAGATCTGAAAACAATTCAGTCTATGCTTTGATTTTTCTCTTCTAACAAATAATTAAATAAAAAACATGACAGCTCATGGTCTGCAGCTCATACATTTGATGTGACAGTAAAACAGCGACATAACTCTGAAAAACTTTGAAGCTTTCAATGCAGAGAAAAACAGATTTTTCTCTCTGACTAAAGATTTTAAGTCTTTGTTAAAAATGTGAGGAGATTTACCTTTGTTTGATGAAAAACTTGTGTCAAGCTGCATCTGCAGGTCAGAGATCTTCTTCTCACTGTTGGTCTTCAGTTCATCGTAGGCCTTCTGTAGTTCAGATATCTGGAAATCCAAAAGATTTGACAGTTTTTTGTGGCTGTTCTTTTAAGTGTTCACTTTCCATCCATTCACACAAAAAATTCTCAGTATTTAATAACCTTAAACATGTTATGCTTTCATGTTGACCAAATCCAAACTTTTGAATTTTACTGCCAATAACGCTTGACAAAAAGAAACGCTTAGTTTCCAAGGCCACATTTGTTTAAACTTGAAATCCTTTCTGCAGCATTTGTGGCAAAGCAAAGTCCTGTTTTCTAAGAAATGCTTCTGTTTGCGAGATTTCCATTTCAAAAATAGAACAAAAGTGCAAAAAGCAGAACTATGCATGGTATTTAACTGTAGCGTGGAGCTGAGAATCAGATAAATGCCGACAGATCTGCACAATTTTACCTTGTTTCCATCAGATCTCAGCAGAGTCTGGAGATGAGAAAGTCGATGATGCTCATGTTCAATACTTATCCTCACCTGCTGAAGATTTATGTATAAATCTACAAATAAACACAATAAATAAATCAGATTTCTTTAAAATGTAACCAGAAAGTATATACACACATAAATGCAATATATACATGGATATATAGTAATATAAGTATAATACAAAGCTCTAAACTTGATTCAGTGTTACCCACAGTACCACATTCAATAAAAGCATGTTTTATTACATGTTATGTATTTTTAACATTGTATTATTACACCACTTTATAAAGTGTACCTCTGGCCTGCAGGACAATAGACGAAGATTCGTTACTTCCTGGTCTTTCCTCTGAAATGGGCGACAAAGTAGCTGCATCATCGCTCTCCAAAACCTTTTTGCCAAAAATCTTCTGAAAAGACTGAAAACAGAGAAAACGGTAACAAGGTTAAAAGTAGTGGTAAATTTTGCGTGACATTTTTTGGAGGTCAAAAATTACCCGAATGATCTCGGTGCATTCTTCAGACACGGCTTCAATCACGTTCTGGTATTTGAAGATTTTTTGTTCATCTGAGGAAAAATGGAAGTTGGTCACCGTTTTGTCACAGCTACAGACCCACACATCTTAAAACCACCCATCTGCTTTACCCCGGTCACCTTGGTCACTCAGGTGCTGGATTTTCAGCTCCAACGAGCGCGTGCAGGCGTCTGTCTCTTCCTGGAGCAGCTCCAGTTGAGCAGCGTGGATCTGAGTCAGGCTGAGGCGCTGCGCTTCCATCTGTAGCCTGAACTCGTCCTTARTTTAAAAAAAAGGGCATCAAGTAATTAGAACACTATCATGCGCACAGAAACATAGCCTTTTAGCTCAGAAACAGACAAAAACCACTCTTGTTAGTAGTGAGAGTAAAAGTAGAAGGTCATCTACAGCAAGGCAAGATTTATCAAATGGTAAACTCACTATAAAGTTTTTAAAAAGCATATTTTTGTCTTTTTTTTATCCATTGTAAAAAGTAGAGTAACCCACAGTCCATGTGTCAAATAGAAACGTTGATAAACTCTACAAAGGTATCTTTTAAGAAGATATTACTTAAAAAAAACTAGAACCAGGGAGTGTTTTATTCAATAATTGCAGGTTAAACTTCATGGAAAATGAAAGCAACATCAAACTGAATAAAATCTTCCAGTGTGCATAAAATAAGTAAAACACCTAAACCTCTTGTGTGAGAAGATGATGCTTGATATAAAAGGATACTGCATTGCATAAATGTACTAATGACAGAAGTATTTTCAAAGCAACGCTTAAATGACAGCACTGCCTGCCATACATGCATCTTTTGTCTCTCTGAAGCAGCTGTCTGCAATAGTGGCACCGCAGAGTTTTATTTCATAAAGCTGATTTTAAATAAACAGGCAGGTCTTTGCTTCAGCACATATTTTATTTATTTTTTCCTGAATAAGGGTACAGTGGTCCCCTGTGACTGACACATTCACCGTATTTGTCCAAAACCTCTTCACTGAACCGTTACGGTGTGAATACATGCATCGCTAAAACCCTTATATATAGACTGAAATACATTTTGGAGCTTTAATACCAACAAAAAAAGTCAAATTTGGTTCCTGAAATCAGTTTAATGAAACGCCAATTATGAGGCTAGTGCAAAAACATGTGAAAATTAAATTCACGATTGTCAATAGCATGTTGAGCACCAACTGTTGCAAAGAAATGAAATCATGCAGCATCCTTTTACTAGTCAGCAGAGCTACGTGATTAAGTAATATAATTCTATCAATCATAGATCTCCAACAGAGGCATTGAACAAACCATGTGTTCAGGATACAAGCTCTACTATTATCACTTCAACAACAAACAACAAAAAGCCCAACCTGAGGCTCCCTCCTCTAATGATGCATGATGCATTAGCACTAATTTCTAAGGGTTGCACGATCACGAAATTGTGATTCGGCAACCTTTGATATCTCGGGCTCCAGAGTGCACTCTACATCTTAATTAGGCTGTATTTAAATCGCTTTGTTACGATACAATCACTTCCTGCTGGAGAGGCTCTTTTCAGACGTGAAACTCGGATGTTGCTTAAAACATTCAGAGAGGAGAAGGTCGCCGTCGAACAAAATGATGGCAGCTGTGTGTGATACCAATGACCCTATGCAAAATACTATAAGCTTGAGAGCATTAATTGTCAGAAAGACAAAAATGTTTTCATCAAGAATTTGTCCTTACGTAACAGGATCCATCCATCCATCCATCCATCCATTTTCTGTACACGCTTCTATTTTGTTAAATCACCTGATCAGTTTCTTGGATCTTGTAAATGAGAAACTTTTTAAATTTTAGCATTTATTCTAYATGTTTTGATTTTCTGTCTTATTCCTTAACATATTTTTTTTCTCTCCCTGATTAAACTGGATTTTCTAGCTGAATGAATGATTAAACCTCACTTCTCTGCCCTGTTCCGTGGGACTTCCGCAGGGTAGCATACTGGGCCCATTGCTTTTCCTATTATACATAAACGACCTTCCAAAAATATTGAAGTATTCAAATATTTTAATGTATGCTGATGATACTGTTCTTTTTTTGTCTGATTTCAATATTGAATCTATTAATAGTCAGTTACAAGCAGATCTTCAGACATTTCATGGTTGGCTTCAAGACAATCTTTTGTCAATTAATGTTAAAAAAACTGTGTGCATGTATTTTTCCTCACCCAGGAGACATTTCAATATAACAAATCAACTCACTTTTTTAAACAAACCCCTTGATATTGTCACTACCTAYAAATATCTTGGAATTACTTTGGATTCTCATTTGACTTATCGTGATCATGTACAAGTCTTAACCACTAAGTTGAAACAGAAATTATAYGTTTATTCAAAAATTAGATCCAATCTGACATCTTCTGTTTCAAATATCTATCTTCATGCCATTGTACTCTCAACCATGTCGTACTGTTTACCTGTTTGGTCTCTTACAACAAATGAAATCTTAGAACCCATASTTAGGCTCTACAACAGGGCCTACAAAATTCATAAAAAACTTCCTGGTTGGACTCATCACTGTACAGTTCTTTCATTGTCTGATACCTTGACTTTTCAGAATTATGTTTTGTATAGTGGTATTAGTTTATATTTTCAGATCTTCCAAGGTGCCAATTATGGAACTCTCTGTGCATTGCTGCCCAAATCAAATTCTAGAAGTGGTCATTCAACTAGATCTGTTACAAAAGGACAACTGATATTACCAACTTTTAAAAACTGTTACGGCCAGAGGTCTTTCTTCTATGTTTAAACTAAAGCATGGAATGACATTCCTCAAAACATAAAGTCCATTTCAAAACYACAGCCCTTTAATAAGAATCTTGTCTGCCATCTGCTGGACACTTTTTGTTGTGCTCATATTTAGACGTCCTATTTTGCAAATGCTGCCTTCTTGAAATTTGGTATGCTTGTTTGTCTTTGTGTCTATGGTGTGTAATGATGTGATTGTGATGCTRTAATTCTGAGTGTTTTATGTGCTGCAGAACAGGAACCTGCTGTAAAACAGCAATTATGCTGAGTCAGGGAATCAATAAATCAAATCAAATCAAATCACTTCCGATTCTCTTTTATGAAGGTTTGCAGGTCTTTCAKGTCTACCCTTGAGCCCTTTTTGGTAACTCTCAGATGAGTCACTTTGTTTCCTGGYCCTTGGTGATTTGTCCTTACTTGGAAGGTTTGTTGGAAGGCCATTTATTTAATTTCAACAATAAACTCAATTTATTTTATTTYATAATTAAAACATTCAGTCAAAACACAGATCTTTGATTTGGGCTGTTTAGTGTTGGTAATCAGTAGTAATACATAAAGTCTGACGCTTTTACCAAATGTTTGTTTTAATTTGGGTTGTTTTTATGTTACTTCGTTGCAATCAAACCCTAACACATCTTATTAAAATAGAGATAATTTTTACATTTCTGATCTTGCTGACAAATCAAAAGGTTCCTGACACGTTTAGTTTTATTACAGTTTCTTCAGCTCATTATAGTTCAGCAGCTACGAGAAATTCTCTCACCTCTGCAGCTGCCTCGGGGATCTGTGAAGGATCATCTTGTGCTGCACCTCATCTTAAAGAGAGCATGTCAAGCCTCTGACTTTGTGTCACCCTGTTCCCTCCTTATTTTCTTCACAGTACTGCTCTGCTCCGACTGCACACCTATTTTTCTAATTAYTCCGAGTCGTCTGATGCCACTTTGGATGCTATTAAACTGGTGCYAATTTGCAGAACCAGAAGCTCTAAAGTCACTTCTTTGCTCTCAAATAAAAAAGAAATTCAGAGTGAACCACATTCAGTCTGAAAAGCCAATTTGAAGTGTTTCAACAAATTAAAATATTAAATCTCAAAACTATACACAGTATGTTATTAGTTCAGAGTTCATTAGAGTCCAGTCTGGGAGATTTAATTTCAGTAAACATCACAAAAAAAAGTTCAAGGGTCAGAAAGTTTGGAGCTCTTTGAGTTCCAACCTTTACACCCCAMTGAATGATGTATCAAAGCAACTTCAAAGCAAAGAGCAGGATGTGAGGTTAAGTGACATTTACATGCTCAGGGGTCTCCTCCGCCCGTTCGGCTCTCTGACACGCGACACGCTCCGTGTGGCAGCCCATYCCCTGCTTCTTCACCTAAAAAGACAAGCGAAACAAAAATGATCTTTATAGAAACATAAATAAAGATCACTTACTCTGACTGATGCAGACAAAATTAGACAATGACGAACAAAATGAATCAAATGCACGGAATATGAATCACTTCYTGAGAGGAAGCAGAGAAAAAAGCAATTATATCACTAATGTTAAAGAATTTAACTATTCTTGTTGCTTTAAAACTCATCTGCATAAATTTACACAAATATAATGAAAAATGTTAAAATTTTCCTAAACTGGACTTTTCAGTACCATTAAGTATCAAAACGACTTTTGCACCTGAAAATAAGATTTTATAGCAGATGCAGCTTTCCAGCTCAGGAGGTGCCAAAAGCATTATGAAGCSTTGATGTGAAATGAAATAAACAAACAATGTAAACAATCTTTTGCCTTGTTTATCTGCGACACACACAAATGGTTAAAATGGCATCTCACCTCAAACCCTGCACTCCCTGCGGGAYGGAAAGAAACTAGAGTGTACATATTTTCACACAATGGCAATGGTTCAAAGCCGTCTGAAGACGTGTTTTATTTATTCTCAGCTCTTTGAAAACCAACGCAGTGTGAAGGCGATCATTTCAAACACAGCACAGAGCTTCTCYTCCTGTTGATATTAGCAGAATATTACTCTGAGGATCTCTCTGTGGATTTTACGTGTGTAATATACTGTGTGTCATTTTGCGTAAATCTTTCCACAACATCCTTCTGAACGTTTCAAAATGTATYTTTGAAGACTGCAGTCTGACTCTGCCTGCAGAAGGCTACCTTTCAAAGCGAGCCTGCAGACTCTCGGGCAATTTACAATCAGGACCGTTACTCACTAGAAAAAAACCTGTCAACGCTGAAAAGCTTCAGTCATATTTTCTTCAAAAATCGCAGTCTGATTTAAAAAAGCAGTTCAAACAGTCTTTAAATACCCAAATGTTAATTCTGCAAGTAATGCATATGATTTTAAATGTCGTGACATGCAAGTTCTTATTAAAACGTCATTTATTTAGACTTAAAAGAGCAAAGAAAAAGCAGCTGTTGCATGTTGGAGCAGATACTTGGGAGTGCTTACCGCTCTGCTGCTGTAGCCTCYGTCTCCCTGGTACCCGTCAGCGGAGTCCTCCTCACCGGCCCTCTCTGGTGAACRTGACATAACCTGGCTCTGCATCTGAGGCAGCGTCTCCTCCTCTGCAGCACTTTTCGCTCTGGCTTGCTCCTCCCGTTGTTTTTCTTCCCTGCTGTCTGAAGAAGCGCTGCCAGCCTGGCGCTCCTGCTTTGACCTCTGCCGTCTCTTGCGTCTGTTTGACCCCGAGGCTGCCGACTTGTGCGGGGAGGATCGCCCTTCGACAGGCCCCTCCCCCGAGGAGCGCACCGCTGCTGGAGATGGGGTCTGCGAGAGCCTGTGGAGCTCCAGAGTCTGACGGATTCTGTCTCTTTCTGCTTCAGCTGCATGCAGAAGGGACTGAAGAGCCTTTATCTCCTCTTGCAGAGATTGAATCTGAAGGCGATGATCCTCTAAAGAACAAGCTGGCTCAACAGTTTGCCTTTCTTCCTGGGCTTCCTTCTCTCCCTTTTGCTCCCATTTAATCTTTTCCAATTTCTTCCTCAGGTTTTCATTGTCAGCAATGACCCTGGTGTTTTCTTGTTTTACCTGTATTAAGTCGTCTTCCAGCTGTTCCACTTTGTTTTCAGTAAAGTTCAGCTGACCTGTAACTTCAGAAAGCCTCTCAGCCAGGCTCCTCTTCTCACTCAGATCATTAAGCTTCTCCATCAGCTCCTCTGCACCTTTTTCTGTCACAGCTTTGTCTCCAGTTTTCGCCTCCTCCATTTTGATATTTCTGCCCCACTCCTCGAGCTCTTGGATCTGCAATTGAAGACGTGCAATTTTCGCCTCAAACTCAAGYGTGTCCCTCCGTGTCCTCTCCTCCAGCTGCGTCTTTGCCTCAATGAGGCAAGTGTATTCCTCCTTCAGCTCTTGATAGTTTACCTCGAAATTCTTCTCAGCGAAAGAAAAAGTCGTTCGCTGCCTTTCAATTTCCTCACAAAGCTCAGCCACTTGTTGCTGGATTTGATTGTTCTCTACTGTCTGTGTCTCAATTCTTTTAGTTTTTGATTCCAACTCTTCTCCCAAAGTGTTTTTAGCCTCAATCAGAGTTTCCTTTTCTAACTTGAGCTCCTTCAGTTTCTCCTCCCAGTACTGTTCTTTTTCTTTTGTCTGGTTTTCCAGCACTTCAGTTTTTTTCAACAACAACTGATTTTCCTCCTGCATTTTAACTCGTTCCTGGGCTCCTGTTCTGAGTTCCTCGAGTTCCACCTGAAGCTCTTGGAGCTGGCGCACAAGCTCGTCTGCTTTAGGGCCGTGCAACGCGAGCTTCAGATCCTCTTTGAGCCCTGAAATCTGGTGCAAAAGTTCATCTCGCTCCGAGGCAAAGCTCGTCTTCTCTGTTTGTAACAAATCCAGCTGCTCTGCGCAGCTTATCCGCAGCTCATCCAAAGCCTTCTGGTGTCTAACAGCAGCTTCGTTAAGAAGGTTCTCCGTGTTCAAAAAGTTCTCCCTCTGCAGTTCCTCCCTAAGATTCGTCAGTTCTTCCTCGTGGCTAAACAGAAGCTGAGTCCTCAGTCGCTCCAGCTCTGCTTCCTGGGACTCTGCCATCCGGTCCAGAACGGCGTCTTTCTCCCTTTCCAGCATTTCCAGCTTGATCTTGTAGTTGGTGATTTCGGATTCGTGTTTGATTTCTGCTTCTTCTGCAGCTTCTTGTGCCGCTGACAGCTCAGTCCTCAGGGCCTCGATGGTTTCCTGGAGCAGCTGGAGTTCATGCTGGTTGCTTTCCTTAGAGATGAAAGTGGCAGAGACCAGCTCTACTTCTGCCTTGGAGGCACTGAGGTCTCGAAGGAGGTCCTCCACCTTGGCCTGCAGCTTTAATTTCTCTTGGATGACTTGATTCAGCTCGTGTCTGGCTTTGTCGTACATTGCTTGAGACTGCTCTAAAGTGTCCTGTAGCTTCTTTATCCTAACCGTGASAGCTTCCACCTCTCCGGTGCCGCCAGTTGAACGCTGTTGTGCTTTCAGAAGCTCGATCTCAGCCTGATGTTGCTCCGTCATTCTCTGCATTCTTGCCGCATGCTGCAGATTCACCTCCTGTTTCATTTGGACTATCTGCTGACCGTACATTTCATCCAGCTCTGCCCTGAGAAGTTCCAGCTTCCTCGCAGCGTCTTCCTGCATTTTCTGGACCATGTCACCTTCCGACACATTGCCCTGGTAGCAACGTTTCTGCAGATTTTCCACCGTACCCATAAGTTGCATGATTTCATTAGACGACATCCGCTCCTTCTGTCTGGAGGCAGCAAGTTCTTCCTTACAGCTTTCTAACTCCGTTTGCTCTTTGGCCAACTGTGACCTACAGCTCTCCATTTCAGATTTCAGGCTTTCYAGCTCATCCAGGCTTTTTTCAAGCTCCAACTCCCTTGCAGCCACCTGGTGCTGGAGTTCACGCAGGTGTTTCTCTGAGGCCTCCAGCTCGTCCGTTAACTGGACGAGGGAACAGTCCTGTTCTGAGATCACCCTCTCCTTCTCTGCTAAAACTAGGTCTTTATCATCTGAGTGGTGCATAATATGCTCATCTGTAGTCCTTCCTGCAAGAGCGAGTTCCTCCTTCARCAGGGTCAGCGACCACTCATGTTCTTTGATTATTGCAGTTTGTTCTGAAATTAACTGGTTTTTATCTTTTAGTGTTTGTGCAAAAGCCTCCTCGGCTGCTCTCAGCGACTGCTCTCGACTTAAAATAGCTTTGTCTCGCTCGGCGATCAGAGAGTCCTTTTCATTTATCCTTTGTAAGAAMGATTCCTCTGATCTTCTCCCTGACTGCAGATACATTCAGGTTTAGACACACAGAAGTTAAACCATTTTAATTTGACTTATTTGGTGATAAGTCTGCTTTTTACCATCTCCATCTCGACGAGCTTGTATTGGAGCTGGCTGATGTGCTCCAGCTGCTCACTGCTCGTCTTCTGGTGCCTTCCAACCTCGATGTTCATCTCCTCCAGCTGCTGCTGGTACTGAACAAGCTGCTGTCTCGCCTGCAGAAGATCAGCTGCGGTGCTGCTGTGGCTGGTATTCCTCAACGTCTCGCCTGCCTGCAGCTGTGAATATGGAAAAAAAAGGGCAACACTCTTTTTATTGTTCATCTAATGCTGTTGTAATGAAGTTTTTATGTGCAACTGGTGGCAAAAAGTTGAAAACAAAAGATAAGATTAAAAAAATTAATAAATTCTAACCTGCTGGAACTGAATTTGCAGTTTCTGGCTTTGTTCTGTCAGCGCTAAAAACTCTTTCATGATCTCGTCTTTCTCCTCGCGAGCCTGCTGAAGGTTGGATGTGAGCTGGGTGATGATGCCATCTCTCTGCTTCAGAGCCGCTTCAAAGTCCTGCAGCTATGAATTAAAAATGAATTTCAGTGCAAATACCTCTGCAACAAACAAACAGCTAAAGCATCCATACTGAGACAGAACTGTTAGAAATGAGCAATTTTCCAGTTTAAAAAATTAAGGGTAACCCTTTATTGTAACTGAACCTTATTTAGCCTTTCCTTATCATTAAAAATGATTAATTAACCTTTAAAACATAATTAATAAGGGATGATTCATACTCAAGCTTTAAAATGGTTTTTGTAAATGATTGGCTTTTATGGGTTAAGTATTATTAAATGTGTTATGTGCTTATTAAGACTGAATCATCCTTAATTTTGTTTTCAAGATAAATTAACCATTTGTTAATAATTAAGTAAGGCTAAATTAGGTGTAGTTATAAAGTGTTATTAAATAAATAATTACATAAAAGGTTAAATATCTCCTGTATGTAGTAGAAGTTACAAATCCTACATTTATTACTTCACTTTCTCATCCTGTAGTTAAATAAAATATTGTGCAAAAGTTTCGAGCCCTGTCTCATTCCTTTATATTTTGTTTTAAAGGTTTCAAACTTTATTATAAATTTATAAAATGGTCTTAAACCATAATTCTCCTGGCACTATTACGGTCTGAGCTTTGCTCATTTCCAATTTAGTATTTACTCATTCACTCAAATAAAATTTATTGCATAAAAATCAAGCGGTGTAATARGACATGCAACTCCCAGTGAAGAATTAAAAGTGGCAAAAAACGAAAGTAGCGAAGCATTTACCTGCTGTACCGTCTCTGTGCCAAAGTCAGACCCTATTTCCTCCAGCCCTTGATTCAGCTCTTCCATRGTTTGGGTCCGAGCTGCTAATTCATCCTCCATAACCGGTACCGTACGCCCCTTTGTGATCTGCTGCAGGGGCTCCAGCTCCTCCTGTGCAGGAAAATAAAAGTCAGAACCAACACAAACCTTATGAGGTTCAGATAAGCAGTAAAAACAAATCTAATCACCAAAGAGCAAAAACCAGTCTGGTATGAGGAGCCCAAAGAACAAGAAACATGTTAATATTTTTAAAGACAAAGGCTCTTAAGTAAAGAGAAACTGGATTGTATAAATGAACTGAATGAAATTTCTCTTAATTTTAGATTTAAAATAATCCTTTATGCACCTTTAATTCTTGCTGTGCCTCAAAGACATGTCCGAATTCAGCCTCAGCAGTACCTTCTTCTTATTTGTTTTCTTTCCTCAAAGCAGCCACTGCCCTCTCACTTTCTGTTCTCCTGCAGCTTTCACAGATACTTTACACSTCTACAATGTCAAAAAGCTCCTGTTCTGTGCTAAACTTTGGGGTCATTTCAAAAMTGGTCGTTTTATGAAAGGCAATAATGATATTTCTTTTCCACACAGAACAGTTTTTGAATACATATGAATGCACAGTTGAGAACACCTAAAACAGATGAGGTTAGTGGAAATTCTGCAGAACTAAGCAGGTTCGGCCGGTGGGTTTGTTAGCAAAGCAGAGCCAAAAGAGCTGCTGGATTAGATTACTGTACCCAGATCAAATCCTTTGAAGACATCATTAGGCTCTCTGTCATCTCCTCATGGCACCCATTTACCTGTTAATTAACAATGTTCGAGTAACAAAAACAACTGGGAGATGCTAAAGAAAAAATGATATTTTAGCAACTTTGTGCACAAAAAATGAGTCAGTTTGATGAGAACTATTATTTATTCTTTTAAAAAGATAAGGCAGGCCAGCAGTCCTATGATTTCTACATAAAGCAGAAAATAAAAACAGGAAGTTTGTTCCACAATATGAACATTTCAGTTCTGAGATGTGTTGACTCACCTCAGAGGAACAATCTTCAGCCGTGGTGGATACTTCGCTCTCTGGCTGCAGCACAAAAATAAAGGAATATTATTAACAMAAAGAAATTTGATCAAATCAACATATAAGTTTTATACAAATAAGTATAGAGAATATTACACATWTGTCATATATAGGACATGTATTCAAATTTCACTGTTTTCTGGACAAGTTATTATTTGGTTGGAGGGATTTCATTTTTGATTGCTGAAGCCATTGGTCCCAGTAAAATCATACTCTGAGCCTTTAAGGACTCTAAACTATGTGCAAAAACAGCTCAAGAGGCATTGCTGATTCACCACACATGCATTTTTAAATAACTTTTAAAATTTTTGGAAACACTGCTCTTATTCTGTTTCCCTCCTGCGAGCAGCATTACCATGGGCTCAAGCCTCATGACAAGTTAAATCTGGAAAAAGGACAAAAAATGTTGCGATTGGTTTGGCAACTAAAAGCAAATAAGTTTCATTTGTTAAGGATGTGAAARAAATGCATTCTGTTTACCAATGACTGTTAACACATTACACATACAGTTTTCTTTCTATGTACTTTTTATTTTGCCTAATCGTCTTTTTTTATGATTAAACTATGATTTAGTTGACGCTAGTTGAGTTGAGTAATGTTTTGAAGTGGGCAGGGCCAGGTCCTGAAGAAACTGTTAAAACAAAGTCGTATTTCCTGATTCGGGGCCACTTGCAATGGAATAAACTGAACACGCTTTTCTTTTCAGATGCACAGCAGCTGTTTGTTCCACAGTGCTTCGTAGAGTGGACAGCGGCACCTCTCAAGGTAAAAATAATAATAATAATAATAGAAAATAAAAAGACTCTGTACCAGGAAATAAAATGATACACTCAGCYATCCATTAAGTCTGAAATACTGTGCAAGGCCATAGGAATTGGTCACACGGACTGACACATCCAAACCTGTTCAAAAGCAATTGTCTGTCTCTGTGGCAACCAGGTAGGTTTTTATATTTATTCATTTATTTTTGTGAGTACATGGTGGGTTCAGGGAAAAGAGCGGCAGCACGTGGTCGTGCAAAAGAGACCGAGACAGTGGAACAAAATGTACAAGAGCCCTCGGGTCTGCATATTAAAAAATAAACAAACTGTGTTTTWCACTGAATTTCTTCTAAAATGATTCAAAAGACAGTTTTCCTGTTAGAAAAATGTTAGACTAAATGCTCAAATGTAATAAACTTTGATATGACATAAAAACAAATTGTTTTTAGCACATTTTTTTAGCATTTCCTGGTTGTAACCATGTTTAACACTTCTCTAATTACTTTCCCAGCTGCAGTGTGTTACTAAAGAGGCAAATTTCAAAAGATTTTTTCTTCTTCTGCTACGTTTCGTTTGTGACTTGTATTTTTATTGTATATAGAATTTATGTTTTTTATAAAAATGAATGAATAAAATAAAATAAAATATAAAAATAAACTTTTGATACATAAACACGTAATGACTGCTTTATGATGCTCAGGTAGCCAACTTATAACGGATATTAATTCTTCTTCTGCTACGTTTCGTTTGTGACTTGTATTTTTATTGTATATAGAATTTATGTTGTTTTTTTTTATAAAAATGAATGAATATAATAAAATAAAATATAAAAATAAACTTTTGATACATAAACACGTAATGACTGCTTTATGATGCTCAGGTAGCCAACTTATAACGGATATTAATTATCTCTAAATTGGATTACATTAAAAAGAAACGCTTTGACACTACACCAATAAKAAATTATTAACTGAGCTGTTACAGTAACATTGTCTTTTTCAATTTGCCTGTCACTAGAAATAACAAACTTGATGTAGAGGTAATTACTYATTTCTTTGTATTTTTCAGCTAAAYCTTTTGTTGTTTCAAAGTGTTTAGAGTTGGCATTTTATTATTCATAAATTTCTTTCAGGGGGATGGAAAACTGAATGTATTGCAGGATGTCAAAGAATTAGCAGAMACTAAATTTGCATTTGAATTTATTAGTGTTATGATTCCTTCCATTAAAAACAGACACATTTTAACCTAACATTTAAATCACCACACAAATGTTTTATTTTTTCCRCTAATTATAAAATGCTGAATGAATAGAAAATTGGCGGAARCTAAAACTAAACCACTAATATTTAACACTGACATCCAGCCCATCAGAAGGTAACAGTGTGCTACTGCACTCAGATTTTTATCTTTGATCATACCGTCCTCTAACGTTCAGTTCACCTCTCTATTCCCCTGCCTCAGACCTTCAGTCATGGTGCAGTTCTACAGTCAACAACTATCAGGACAGATATCAAACCAAACCTAAACGTGTAAATAATGACACGACTCAAAATGCTTCATAGATCTATAATAAGCATTTATGCCTTTTTAGAGGTGAAATTTCATAAAACAGAGAATGGGGAAACTACACCATTGTGCATTACATGTTAGACAATGGCCGCCATGTTTTATGTTAAAGCCAGGAGGTGAAGCTACAGTTGACTAACAGGAAGAGCGGAGGTGGAGAAAAAGCATTGAAAAATTACAGCCTGTGAAATCCTGTTTCTGCAAATTTATTTATTATATTTAAACACTACTAACACTAAAAATTCAATAATTGTATGCTCTAGATTAATGCAAAGATGTGTCTTAATTTTTTTTTATTTTGCAGCTATTATAGCT